CCACTTTCTGGACAACGGAAGACAGGTCTGCAGTATCGACAAATCAAAGGACATGCAATTCAAACATAAATCAGGTCACTCGGAGAACAAGAACTGAGATTGCTTGTTGCCCATTTAACCGGTAAAATATCTATTTACATATTGTTTAGTCTCATTGATTTCTTCCACCTAGGTAGCTGCGTGACAAAAGACAGGAGCATACTCAATGAAGTAACCGTCCACATTTCCAAGGCTCGAGCAACTTACGCAGGACTGAAACAACTTTGGTGACGACATGTTTCGTTGAAACTGAAAGGTTGCGTATACTGCGTCAGCGTACGGTCAGTTCTGCTCTGTGGTTGCGAAACCCTAAATTTACCCGTGGAGGATATTTGTCGTCTAAAAGTATTCGACTGCAGATGTTTACGTAGTTTGGCGCGGGTTGGATGTAGCGAGCGTGTAAGCAAATCTGAGGTATGGTGTTTGGTATTTGGTAATAATTCAGTGGAGAATTCGTTGTCCCTTCGAATTCAGATTAGTTGGCTTCGCTGGCTAGGACACGTATTGCGCATGCCCAGTCATCGTCTGCCGCACCGCGCTTGATTCGCAGTTGCGGCTGCAGGTTGAAAGAAACCGCGTGGAGGTCAACAAATGACGTGGAGACGAGGCATGAAGAAATGCACAGCGGTAGAATAAGTGTCTCTCGTCTTCCATGTTGGGACTCGAAAGAATCTGCAACTGGCTGGTTGGAGATATTAAAGGATATGGCAACTAACCGACAGCAGTGGCGTTCATTTGGTCATTTCATATCGGGTCAGAATGCTTTAAAAAGTATGTAAAAGCTATGTCGGACTGCGTACTCTGTGTTGACCATAGAGGTTCACTTTATGTTCCTCTCTCCAATTAGGCCCAAACCCTCCCCATCTTGTGCCTTATTACTTGATCTGTGTACATAGTGAGCTTGACAGCAATCAGTGAAATTCGCCTTGTATGATGATCATTTCTTGGAATAAGTGAACCGCTACTTCTCTTGTCTTCATCCTGCTTCTCGGTGACGGGAGATTCCGGAATACTAGTGGGACTCCGTGTTTCGTATGCGATATCGGTTCGCGTTTATTCTATTCCGATTACAACAGTTTTACTCCTCTCACAAGTTGCGACTCATTATGTTAAGGAATTTTCACTATCGACGCTAGAGAATGAATACCTCGAACTGGAGTGAGTGCACTCTACATTTTGTATCCTAATAAAGGAACTTATCAACATGTCCCATTTTCAGAATTTATGAGCGGATGCAAATGCTGGCTAAAGGACCAGTGGTCACTGATGAACACAATGGGTAGGTGCATATGAACAATTTTAAACCAAACCTAGGAGATTCTAGAGATAGAACTATAACAAATTCGCCGAAAACCACTTCAAGCCAGAGATGATCGCTTCAATATATGTAGACAATTTAAGAGTAATCAAATTGAACAGAGTATATGAAACGTGAACTGAGAAGCTAGGAAGCGTTGTTTCTACCTAGTTGGGTTACGGCTACAGTAGGTTCACACTGCTGATGAGACGTAACCAGGCAAAGATTTCCTAGTTCTTCTGTTCACAATTCCTTTACTTTGTACAGGATGAAATTTTCTAAATGATCGAACCACATCTTCCACTCCTGGTCCCTCAGGTCAAGCACAGCTGAATGCTACAGGCGCGTCCCCAGGTTATAGATAGGGGGATACTTTCATCGAGGAAGGTTAGCTGCGAATACGTTGTGGCATACTGCAACAAATAAGCGGTCGCGAATAAACAGCGACGGCACTACCAGTGTGGTAGGTTTCAGGTTGGTCACCTGGCTCCTGTTTAAAAGCCACATACACCCAATGACGGTGTCATAACAAAGGTCGATGTGGCTGGGGTTCTAAAACTAAAGTCACTGACCCCTCATTTCAGAGTCGAGGGATTACTTTCTACTGCTTTTCAGCTCGCACTTGGTTGTGTAGATGCTAGCGGTGCGTCCTCAAAAAAACGCCGTGAAGCCGGGGACGCCTCTCGTACCGAACACCCACGTAACTTCATGATCATGTCTTCTACAAGCTTCGCTACCAATACTACGGCGTCCCCGGCAAGCGACGCGCACCGTGCTCCTCCAGTGGTGTCAAGAATGCGAACTGAACCTCCTCATTCTCTTCAACTCAGGAGGCATCTGTACGTGGGATGCTGGAACTTGAGAACCTTCCTGGATGTTGAGACTCAAGCAGTGAGTATGTGCACGTTATACGACTACTGTGTAGCTGTTGCATGTTTATCCAAAGTACTTCGGCTCCCGTAGCATGAAGGTTTCCGGCTCTGATAGTCACTAATTTTAACATAGCGGCCCAGGAATTTTAGGTCAGCAGGGAGTGGCGTTAGCGCTGAGCCAGCGCACCAAAGATGCCCTACTCTCTTGGGAACCAACATCGTCAAGGATCGCCGTAGCGCTTTTCAAAGGTGATCCTACCAACCTGTGGTAGTAGTCTACGCCCCAGCCCTACCGTCCGACAGCGTAGTGAAGGACGAGTTTTATGGTAGTCTTCAGGTAGTAAATCGTGTCCCCAAGAGACGGGAACTGGAATGCTCGTACGGATGGGCAAGGACCTTCAACAAAATACAATTGGGAAATTTAGACTAGGCCACCACTGTTAAAACAGTGATAAGCTAATTGATTTTTCCGATTTTAACCGGCTATCTATAACCAACACACGTTTTCAGCATCTTCATACCTAGTATTCTAACGACGGTAGAACAGCCCACCAAGTCGACTATATCTTGAAACGGCCACACTGGATCTCATCGGTAGGAGATTGTAGATCGTATCGCGGCGCCGAAGCTGGTAACAGAGTTGGCTCTGATCACACGTTCGTTCGCGCGAAGCCTCGCCTTCGGCTGACTACACGTGTTAAGGCCACCTCTCCAAATCGCATCCATGCGAGCCCATTAGAT